ACTACGGCCAGGGCGGCGGCGACGCGGCGGCGGCGGCGGCGGCCGCCGCCGCGCAGTACCACGAGTACTACGTGGCCGCGGCAGCCAACGCGGGGTTTGGCGCGGCCGAACTGGCCGCCATGCAGGTGGCCCCGCTGCCGGACGACGCCACGCTGGCCGCGCTGGGCGGGCACGCCGGCGCACACGCCGGCTACGGCCTGGACGCGGAGCAGCAGGCGGCCGCGCACGAGCAGTACGCGGCGGCCGTCGCGGCGCAGCACTCGCAGATGCTGGAGCAGGGCGGCGGCCGGCACCACGACGCCGAGGCCGACTACTCCAATGCGGCGCGGGAGGGGTAGGGCGGTCGATGGACTGCGAGGAGGAGGTTGCTGTATCATACCCTCGGTAGTGACTCCTGTGGACACATGCGTTCATGTTTTTCCATGACCCGCCCCGCACCCATGTTGCCCTTGCCCCTGACGCCCCTGTACCCTGTGGCACCCAACGCTTGTGAAACCCTTGACACAAAGTGGTGGTGTGGCTGGGAGGAGGTGTACTGAATGCAGCCCAGCACCACAGCAAGTGTTCTGTGCAGCGCAGCATGGGCCGAGTGAACGGTGCGAGGGCCGCTGGGCGCGTGGCGGCCGCGGCTGGGCGACTGGCACGGCATGGTTGCCAGAGGGAGAGAAGGGCAGGCAGGGGGCAAAGGGGCCGGGAAGTTTTGGAGGCCCTGTGAAGCCTCAGATCTCTGTGGGGTGGGTGCGAGGGGGGCGGCAGGGACGGTGTCACTTTGTTTTGGATTGAGGCACCCTCATGGGCACCCAGCTCAGACAACTCAATCACCTGGCGCGGGCAAAGCAGGGCACGGTGGCAATCGAGTCAAGCACACTCCTCACCCACCCACAAGCACACACCAGAGATGTCGTCGAAGTCGATGTAGTCGTCGTTCTCGCCTCCCTCCTCATCGCCAAAGGTGTCGGTGTCATTGACGCGGACTGCAGCGGTGGGGGTGGTTGGAGGTGAGTAGGTGGCACTCGACAACCTTTTGCAGATCGATCCAGCACCTGAACCCCCCCATGCATGCATGCATGCATCACCCCCACTCAGCAAGCCGACACAACCATCCAGACCACAGTCCACCCTCCACTCACTGCTGTCGGGCAGCTCGCCATAGGCCTTGAGCGACCGAGCCTCATCTGCCATGTACCTGTAAGACGCGAAGGTGTGATCAGCTGATCACCGGTGCAGTGTTGAGGAGCAGGCTCGTCAGACACACAAACAGGGTATCGTGCCAGCGAGTACACACCCGCCCGCCGTCCCTGATCACTTCCCCTTCCCACTTTTCCCTCAAGCTCACTTCAAGATGACATCCGCCTTCTCGTCCTGGTAGTCGCGGAGGCCGACCAGCACCACGTCTCCGGCATTCACCCACACCTTCTTCCTCATCTTGCCGCGGATGTGACACAGACGCTTCACGCCGTCCATGCAGTGGGCCTCCAGGCGACCGTTCCCGAGCATGCGCAGCACTTGGGCGTACTCTGCGACGAAAATCACTCCGTTCATCAATGTTGGGGGATTGGGCGGCGACAAGGAGGGCCTTGCCACCGACCACAGCCACGACTCCCACCTTGGCCATCCTCCTTGAAGATGAGCTCGCGCTTCTCCTCGCTCTCGTTCTTTCCTCTCCGCCTGTTTTTTCCTCCCTTCCCTGCGTGCGTGAGGGGTGTGCAGCGATGAGGAGCGCAGGCCTGGATGCCTGGACCGGGCTTCAAGCTTCAGGCGGCAGTCTGAAACGGCCAGGGAGGCCGCCCTGGAGCTCCAAAACTCACCCTTGTTCTTCGGCATCCTTGCTGGCGCAGTGGGCGCGTGATCTACGATAGAAAAGGGCTGGAATGGGTTGGACAGGCGACAATGACGCAGAAAGCTCCTCGGGGCGTGGATGCCCTTTCCACCGCATGCACTTCTTGCGAGGGGCGCTGGGCCACGATGGAGCAGTGGGGGTCATGTACATGCGATCGCGCGGGCTCAATCTAATACTTGACTCATGCAGCTTGCCCCACTTGTGTCACATCGACATACATTCTAGACCTGGAGACTGGCGTGCCTCTAGGCGGAGGAAGCGATGCGGGCAGCAGCGGCTGCCCAAGCCCTGCGACTGGCGCTCAGGTGCAGCTCCCTGCGGACCCTGGCCCCCAGCTGGGAGGCATGCAGTACCTCGGCGAGTGTCGATAGCCAGGCCCAGATGGCGCGACTCCTGCCTGCCTTTCAGCAGCGGGCAGGGTTTGCTGCCGGCCGAGGGATCGACACGGCGTCCATTGAGGACGGCCTGGCCTCCCCCAAGTCCCCCAGGCGCCCTAAGTCCAAGTCCAGGCCCAAGCCCGCCCAGGGACCGGGGCCTGCTCCAAAGGCAGAATCGGAGACGCAGCGCCGGGCCAGGCAGGAACGCATGCGCCTGCTCTTGCAGGACGAAGCCAGCAGCGGCAGGAAGGGCGAGGCGGCACGCGCGTTTGTGGCAAAGTGTGTGGGTACCAGGGGGAACAGAGTTGGGATGATGGTGACCTGGACAACCTTGTCAGGGGAGAGTAGGGTGGACAGACCCCGACCTCCTCATCGAGCTTGGCGCTGGCCAGTGATGGGCATGGTCTTGACAATGCAGCATGCCATCCGCCAACCCCGCAGCCTCCAGCTCACCCCCTTGTCCCTCCTTTCCAATCATGCAGCTTCTTTGCCGGGGATGTGTACCAGGGCGACGCCCTTGGCCTGACCTCCGAGGACGACCCCGTCCCCACTCCGGACGAGGCCGCTGGTCCCAGCGCAGCAGCGTCCTCTGCCGCCGAGACGTCAGGGGAGGACGAGGCCGCTCCGTCGGGGCTGCGCCTGGCTGCCCCCGAGGCCATGACCGCCGCCGAGGAGAGGACGGTGCTGGCCGGGCTGCAGGGACTCAAGCGGGGATCCCAGAGGTGCGGGGCCCCGCTGCTCCTGCCGGTGCTCAGAGGCGAACCCCTCGTACATGCCTGAAGGTTTGCCGTCGTACTCCATGGCTTGATCCCCACAACAAAGTCCCCTCCCTTCATTCCCTGGTCCCCAGGATCGTGCTGCAGCAGCTGCTGCAGGGCAAGATCCTGGACAGCGACCCCGAGGCGCGGCGCGAGTGGGCCGAGATCGAGCGCTCCTTCGCGCCGCCCACCGGCCTGCGCATGCGCGTGGTGGACATCAACCGCACCTCCAAGGGCACGCGGTCGGGGGGCCTTTACCGCTTCGGGGCCATGGTGGTGGTTGGCAACGGCGAGGGCGTGCTGGGCTGGGGCCAGGGCAAGGCCGCCGAGCTGCAGTCTGCCGTGAAGAAGGCGTACGCCCGGGCCTGCTCGTGAGTGTTTGAGGGATTTGGTGGGGTCCATCTGGGCACTTTCTGTGGGGGTTGGTGTTTACTAGCTGGGGAGGGCTCAGGAGGGCTCAGGGGCGGGGGGTGTAGCATGCTTCACACTCTGTGTGCGAGCGAGCTCCATGCCATACCCATGCAACGGCCGACGACACAGCCGCTCCATCCAACTCACTGGCCTGTAAGCATCCCATCAACACCCCCCACACCTCCCACTCTTGCGCAGGAACCTGTTCCCCATCCCGCGGTACAATGGCCACACCATCCCGGAGGGCATTGAGGCCAAGTTCGGCCAGGTGAAGCTCGTAGTGTACCCCAAGTCTGCCGGCAGCGGCATCATCGCTTCGGAGATGATTGGCGGCATTTGCAAGATGGCGGGCATCCACGACATCGGGGTCAAGGTGCACGGATCCCGCAATCGCCGGAATGCTGGTGAGTTTGTGCATTCATTTGTTGTGGTTGGGTGGGAGGAGGGAACGGTCGCTTGATGGGTATGGGGAACGGTGGTGGAGCTTGAATCGGGGCTTGGGACTGGAACACAAAGTCTTGGCAGCCTGTCTGCCCCTATGGTGGCTGTGCCATCTTAGGCAGGGCCTAGGTGGTAACACCCACAGCCCACTGAGTGCTGCAGCTGAGTGCGTCCCCTCTCTTCCCTGCACTTTCACAGTCAAGTGCCTGTTTGAGGCGTTTGACAAGATCCGCAGCCACGACGAGATCACCGGGCAGGCGGGCAAGGTGGTCGTGGCGAGGCCGCCGGGGCGGTTTGCCCATGCGCGGCGCAAGCTGCACTAGGCTCTGCATGGACGCCTGGACTGGCCGGTGGATGACAGGGAGCGGTTTCTGATCAAGCTGATTCCCTTCTCCCTGGCATGGCCAGCCGGCAGGCTCAACCACCCTTGCCAACCCCCCACACCTCCCACTCTTGCGCAGGAACCTGTTCCCCATCCCGCGGTACAATGGCCACACCATCCCGGAGGGCATTGAGGCCAAGTTCGGCCAGGTGAAGCTCGTAGTGTACCCCAAGTCTGCCGGCAGCGGCATCATCGCTTCGGAGATGATTGGCGGCATTTGCAAGATGGCGGGCATCCACGACATCGGGGTCAAGGTGCACGGATCCCGCAATCGCCGGAATGCTGGTGAGTTTGTGCATTCATTTGTTGTGGTTGGGTGGGAGGAGGGAACGGTCGCTTGATGGGTATGGGGAACGGTGGTGGAGCTTGAATCGGGGCTTGGGACTGGAACACAAAGTCTTGGCAGCCTGTCTGCCCCTATGGTGGCTGTGCCATCTTAGGCAGGGCCTAGGTGGTAACACCCACAGCCCACTGAGTGCTGCAGCTGAGTGCGTCCCCTCTCTTCCCTGCACTTTCACAGTCAAGTGCCTGTTTGAGGCGTTTGACAAGATCCGCAGCCACGACGAGATCACCGGGCAGGCGGGCAAGGTGGTCGTGGCGAGGCCGCCGGGGCGGTTTGCCCATGCGCGGCGCAAGCTGCACTAGGCTCTGCATGGACGCCTGGACTGGCCGGTGGATGACAGGGAGCGGTTTCTGATCAAGCTGATTCCCTTCTCCCTGGCATGGCCAGCCGGCAGGCTCAACCACCCTTGCCATGCACTTTGCAGGGGCCTGGATTAAATGTAAGCAATGAATCATGCGCTACCGCGCAGCAAAAGGCCATTCTAGGGAAGTCACAGGTCGCTTGAGGAGCCTGGCACTACGTATAAATGCCTGGGTGTAGAGTGTTTCATGGCCCTGCTCAAGCCTCGGCACGCTGGCTTCAGAGAGCACTTGGACAGCCCCGCCTCGTCTTCGATTGGCGCACAGCCACGCTGCAGTCCTGCACATACCATGCACTGCCCTCCCGCACCAGCTGGTTGCGGCCGTGTCCCTGCAGCCGGCTTGCGCAGCAGGTCCTGCGCTTCGTGCGCCCCCCACTGCGCTTAGGCAGCCCTGTGTCCCGCTCAGGGTGCTGCCGCGGAGTCGTGCACAATCTCGCGGACCGCGGAGAAGATGCCCGCGGCAGACAGGGCGACGGACAGGGGCACCAGCGCGCGGCAGAGCCAGCGCTCGGCGCGGCCCAGCGGCAGCAGGCGGAGTGCGAGGAGGGCGGGGATGAGGTAGCCCGCAGCCACGTCGCCCACAGCCGCCACCAGTGCGATGACCAGGGAGAAGAAGGGGATGCCGGAGGCCAGGGCCCAGCTGGCCAAAACGCCGACGCCGCTGACCAGGGTCCAGGCGCCCCAGCCCTGCCAGCTGCGGGCGGGTGCACGGTGCTTGGCGACCACTGTCAGTACCAGGTGCGTCAGCACGTTGATGTTAATCTTCAAGGTTGGGGGGGAAGGGAGGGGGGGGTGAGGGGAGCAATATGACAGAGGAAGGCATCAAGGCCATGGCGTCGCAGGAGCTCAAGAATACAACAGCTCGCGCCGCTGGAACTGGGCGGCAGTTCATGTCGTGGTTTTGTCACGTAGGAGACTGCGCTACTACCAGGCCCAGCAACCGCGGTGGTACTCTTTCGTGCACTCCATCCTAGACAAGACCTCCAGCTTCTAAACCCACCTGGTACGCCACGAGGCAGTGGATGAGCAGCATGGCGTTGGTGAGCACCGTCCAGCCGTCCTGGGGCAGCACCGATGTGATGGGCCTGCGTGAGGAGAGGGGCATGGTGGTTGCGTGGCGGACTGGTCTGTGAGGGTGGGGAGGAAGCTCACAAGGCAACTACCGAACGGACTTGGAATGGCCACCCATCTCAAATTTCCAGGGCAATGCACCTTCTCCCCACTACACCGCCTCACTTGCTGAGGTCGTAGGCCGACCCCAGGCTCCAGTAGCCCGTACATCCCAGGAGGAGGTAGAAGGCCGTCATGGTCACGGCCCCCACCCGCGTGACCAGGAGGAAGTTGGACCGCTTGCGCATGGTCGAGGCATACCGAAACCAGTTCTGGAGGGTGTTTGCAGGGGATCGGAGATGGACTTGTACATCATTTTCAAGTATTCCGCGCCATCCGAGTTCGAAATGCGCTGTCGCCACCAGCACCCCCGACACAGCTCTCCGCAGTGACCCGCCATCCGGCATCCACCAAACCACACCAAGCCAAGTCCTTGCCTGCTGGCCACCGTAGGCAAACACGACGTCCAGCAGGGCTACCAGTGCCAGTCGCGGCGTGGTGGAGGCTGGGGGCAGCCAGTGGGTGGCCGCCGCCGCCCGCTCCGGCAGCGGCTCCAGGAGCAGCTTGCCCAGCGTGACCGCCACCGCGGCCAGCATGGTCCCGGTGCCGACCACCGACACCCAGCCCACGTCCTCCATGCTGCGCACCTGGGCCAGGGGCAGCATGGCCAGGGTTACGAGGAGGCCCGGGGACGGGCCGGCGCGGCCCCCCATCAGCACCCCCAGCGCCTCGGCGGAGGTGAGATGGATGACGGCGGGGGAGAGGAGGATGAGCGTGTAGACGGTGCCAAACACCAGCCAGCGCCCGCGCCGCCCGTAGGCCGCGCCCGCCAGGCGGTGGTAGACCGAGACGTCGGGGTGGGCGGCGGCCAGGCGCGTGAAGAGGGAGCCGGAGAAGAGCATGGCCAAGCCCAGGGCCAGCAGCGCGACGCCGGCCGCCAGCCAGCCCAGGTGGGCGAAGACGGAGGGAATGGCCAGGGCGCCCAAGCTGTGGTGGTGTTGGGGGATGGCGAGAGCAAGGGTGGGGCAGGAGGAGACTCGGGGATTTGACTGCAGAGAGCTGCCCATGCATGCATGCGGGTGAGCGATGTGGCAGGCTCATGGGGCAGGCACGGCAGTACGCAGCGCAGAGGACAGCTGGTCACCCAGCGCTGTGATCGATGGGTGCGAAACCCTATCACTGCTCTGCAAAAAGAAAATGTTTCCAACCCCCTCGCACACCACACACCCAAACATGTCTGTGAGGAGGATGAAGGTGGTGGCCTTCCAGCCATTGCCGGCGGCGTCGGCGCTGTGGTGGCTGGTGGTCCTCTCCAGGGTGATGTCCTCCACCCCTGCATAGGCAGTGCAGTGCTTGGGAGTGAAAACGCAGCTCAATAGAGAGCAGCCTGGAATCAGCAGGGATGGGGCGCATCGATTCAGAGCTCTTTACTTGCAAGTTCCAGCTCTCACCATCGTTTCCGAGATCAAGGGGGAAGGACTTGGGTCCAGAGTGGGCGTCAGGCACCGTCGCCAGTAAGGGTGCTGTTGGTGCTTCGGCGTCTCCCACCTCCGACATGACTCTCGCTGCGTACTTTGAAGTTTTTCGGTTGAGAGTTATCGAGCATCTAGTACCCAAATAACGGCGCCTACGTTTCAGCATGCATGCAAAAGTACGACTCCGCTCGCGCGGTCTCAGGGCGCCACCCCGAAATCGGTCAACCGGTATCATCCGAACAACTTTCAGCAGCTCTCCAGAACCGTAATGACCACGGGTCTAGGTCTAACTATGGCACCATAAGCATCCTGATCTGGTCCTGACGGTCAGGGTGCCTCATGGATTGCTGCACTCCCCCTGCCCTGCCCTGATATGTATCGTTCCGAAGGATCAACATGCGGTGCTGAGTGGGCAGGGACAGGCGCAAGGCAACTCGCTAACGACGCATGGGGCCTCGACCGCCAGGGCATGCCAGACGCTGCTCGCAGGGCAGCGCCATGCACCGCCACAAAGCTCTTCTGCTCAACTCTGAGAAGGGCTCCTGACTCCACCCCCCTGCACGCCCCCCGCCCCCGCCCGGCTTTCCAGCCCCCCCTCGCTCCATCAAGCAGGGGGCATGGCCGTGTCGCCATCGCCGTCCTCCTCCTGCTCCAGCGGCGTCCCTCGCGCCGCCACAAACCTCTCCACACTGGGGATCATGGCGGTGCAGGGGTCGCCGGCGGCCACCAGCTGGGCGTGCAGCGCCCGCGCGTGCGCATGCAGGACCTCCAGCGCAGAGAACTCGCGCTTGCCGGACTGCGCCAGCAGCGCGCGCACCAGAGCAGCCGCCAGCTCAGCGCGGTGCTCATCGGTCAGCAGGCGGCCGCTGGGGCTGGATGCCGGGTCTGCGGTGGTGGTTTTTTGGGGGGGGGATGATCATCTTGGGAAGGGAGAGGTTCCTGTTCCGGGTCTTGGCAGTGTTGCGGGGGGGGGGGATTGAATGGGGGGTGCCCTTCATCCAGTCAGACCCCTCACTACAGTTACCGCATCGCCACCCCCCCACCCCACACCTGTGTAGGCGAAGAGCGCGACCACGTCCTCCAGAAGCTCGTGGTCCTCCGCGGTGCTGGCGGCGGGGTCGACCACAGCGCGCCCAAACTCCATGGCCTCCACGTCCCGCCCCGCCCCGATCTGCAAGTGCATGGTTGAAATGGGTTGTTGTTGGGGCCAGAGGGAAGAGAGGGGAGGGTGGGCGGATAAAAGGGGGGGCGTGTACCAGGGAAACTCAGGCCAATACCTCACAGCCCGGGCCCCCTCCCAACTCGCTGCCTGGCTGACACATCTTCTTTACCCCTTGCAAAGATGCCACCCCCAACATCCAGCTCACACACACATTCACAACCACTCCTCACCAGCTCCGCCAGCTTCTGCGCCAGCAGGCGGAAGCGGATGCCCGGGCGCGCGGCCAGCACGCCGGGCCCGAGCGCCTCGCTCTCCTCCAGCGCGGCGTCGACGTCGCCCGCGCGCACGTGCGCGGCCAGGCGGCGCAGGCCCGCCTGCTCCGCGCGCTGCGCCTCCGACACGGCCACGGTGCCGGCCAGGACGTCGCGGGCCACCAGGCTGGCGGTGTCCCACAGGCCGTGGTGGGTGCAGTAGTTGAACACCAGCCGGCCCACCACGTTGCCAGGCGTCTGGTGGAGGGGTGGAGGGTGGAAAAGAGAGGGGGAGTTGTATCGGGCGAGGGTGGGAAGATGAGATGGGAGGGGCCAGGAGGGAGTACTTTTGAGGGACATGAAGTATCGACACCAGTATCGGGATGACTTCATTTGCCCCCTTGCACAAAGGACGAACCTCGACTCCTGGCAGGCCAGCGCTTTGCGCACATCCCTGCCATGAACCAAAGGTCTGTGCCCCACCACCACCCTCTCTCAAAAGCACCTTGCTGATCTTGTCCAGGGACTGGCCCCGAATCTCATCATGTAGCCGGGCGACGGCTTGCCTGTGGAAGAGGCTCGCATCGGCCTGGAAGGGCTGGCCCCCGAAGTTTGCCACCACCTGTGCGTTGGGACAAGTGATGAGGTTCCTTGGAGGAGTGCGTTCCTCAGCGGATTTGTCACGTCAAGCTGACACTGCAGCGTGCTGCCGGGCCTGGTAAGAGGCAGCCACAATCCTAATACTATATGAGACATTCGTGGCTGGCGGACGACCACCTCACACCCTTTTCACTCCCGACATGCCACTCTGCACCTCACCTCCTCGTCAGGGGTGCGGAAGCCGATGGTGGGGTAGAGCACAGGCTCCATGACATGCTGGAAAGCGACGCCGAGGTCCCGCCCATTCTTGGTGAAGGAGATGGTCCTCTCCACTCGGTCAAATAGGACGCCAATCACATCGCCTGCGCGGCGGAGGGATGGGGGGATGGCATGGCCTTGGTCAGTGTGGTAATGCAGGAAGGGAGAAAGCACACCAACACTGCGAACGGCCGAGCAGCACTCGCCTGTCGTGAAGGTGGGTCCGTACTTCTGCCCATACCCGCGACCGTTGAAGATGTTGCCATCATCGCCATGGTAGCCGTAGGACCGAGGCTCCCATCCTGAGGGGGAACAATAGGATTGTTGGTGGAAAACCGGGTGCAGGGTGATCCTCTGTCCTGTGAGCTGGCCTACCAGACTGTTCAGGCAATCCACCGCAAGCACAGATCATTTGCCCTCCAGCGTTGGTGCCACCTCCTTCCCCTCGTATACTGTCCTAGGATAACCCACCTGGGAGCCTTTCCAACTTGACATCCGCAGCCGACATGCCCACTCCAATGAACCCATCTCGCCCCTTGTCTACGATTTGGGCCTCCCAGTAGTAGAAGGGCAGGGACTTGCTGACGGGATAGTTGGATCGGATGGCAGCAGCGTCTCGGTCATCGTTGCCAGTGCCTATGTACTTGACCCTCAGATCGGTCACTTGCAAGAAGCGGGAGTTGCTGCTCCGGCGATTGCTGTCCCAAGCGCTGGGCAGGGCGCCCTCGTTTGCGGCCATACTCCCAGGCTGAAGCGCTGGCTACAGCTCCATCCAAAACCGATGTGTGGCGCAGATGTTTCCTTGGATACTGCTCCGCCAGTCTCGACTACTGACTGCGCGTCAATAATGAGGCCGGAAGAGCTTCCGCAAGTGGTTCCCTGGGGTCTCCCCGAAACAGACTCTGATGGAAGCTCTGCAATCTCGGTGCACTTTCAAGCAATACTTTATCCTTCGAACTTGTCAAGTCGGGTGTTTGCATGTATATCCTATGCACCCCCTGACCTCCCAGGTCTCGTCGAGAGGCCCCGATGGGAAGCCATGGGAGATGCGCGCGCGCGACGTTTCTGCATGGCACTCTCTGGTGTTGGCTAAAGCGACCCTCCACAGCGACAAGCGAGCTTCAATGGAAGTTTGCCATCGTAGACTGTTATTCTGATATAGTCGTTATATCGAGGATCCTTATTCTCGTCGCGAATCCTCTATAACATATTCTGGTGCTGCAGACGAGCATATCGTACCCCCACGAGATGCACCGAGACTCGTTGCTGACGCACGTATGACCAAACTCTGAAGCATGGAAGAGGACTACATTGTGCGCGAGCTGGATGTGGTGGTGTGCTCCGGCTCTCTGGGCACAGGCAGCCAGGTGAGATCAAGCCTGTTGGCGCATGACCGGCCTGCATGTCATAGAAGGGTGTCCGCGTCTTCACGTGGACCATTTAAGTCGACATCGACATCCCAAATCACATGCAGACGGTGCTACTGCAGTACCCGCTGCGTGGCGCCTCCAGGCCCTACCAGTCCAGCGGTGTGGAGGCCGTGCAGTACAAGCCCAAGAACAAGAGGCTCCAGGTGGTGAAGGGCAGGCACCATGTGCACTTTGATGCTCTATTGGCAGCCAACCTGGTTAGGGCATTGTGACGCTCCTAGACCCTCTTGTCAGAAGCATGCCTCGGCAGTTAGTGTGCCCTGGAGTAGCACACCTTCCGTCCAATACCCCCCAACCTTTCCACATGTGCACCACAGATGGACGTGCGACTGGACACAACGATCCCCGAGTACAACGACAATGTGGAGCCCACACGCCTGCTGAAAAAGCTCACCCTGCAGTCCTCCAGCGTGGAGTGCGGCACCTCCCTGGCGGCAGCCTTTGTTGAGGGCGACAGGCTGATACTGCTCCCCATCGACGAGGTGGGGTGGGATGGTGAAGCAGGGGTTGGTCATGCCCTGGCAGAGGCCAATGTAGGCACTTTGTGTTGACGCAGGCCCAGTACCGTCTAGAACAGTGCCCCATGACGTCGAGTGGACCCCATGCATGCGGCCCCGCCCCATGATCTCCCAACCCAGTCCGCCCAAGCTGCTCAACCCCCTCCGCCGCCACTGCATCACATCCCAAATTCCCAGACAACCCCTGAAAACCCACACACAGGCCATGCAGCTGCGCCCCTCCATGGCGCACCTGGACGCAGAGAGGGAGGGTGGGAAGAAAGCGGCGCCCAAGGAGGAGGAGGGCCCCGACGCTGGCGTCCTGATGCCCGTCATGGTGCAAGTGAAGAAGCGGGAGACAGAGGCCCAGCTGGAGGCGCGTTTGCGCTCCTTCGCCCACATCACCGCCCAGGAGGCCGCCGAGGAGTGGGTGGGCCTGCAGTACCATGATGACATGTCCGAGGTGATTCGGGCATGGGCAGTGGGAGGTGTGCCGAGTGCTTCGTGGAGATGTGGAACGAATGAGGGGCCGCCGTTCATGAGCCCTGGGGGTGTGGCGGGCATGCTTTCCTCTGCGCCAGGCTGCTGAGAACAATGGGCTTGCCTGAGATCTCTTTCTGTTGGCTCCCTCCGGGGTCAGTCCAGAGGGCACAGTGAGGTCCCCACTCCGCCAGTCGGCAGCCCATGTCAAGCATCCCCTGGCCACCACCACCCAGCCCCCCTCAACTCAACCCCCCTCCTCCTTCCCCCGTCAACAGACCTCCCAGGGCATCGCCCAGAAGCTGGCCGCCGCCGACGCGCAGCCGGCGCTGCACCCCATGCGCGCCGGGGACTACCTGGCGGCGCTGGTCCCGGACCCCGACCGCGATGGCGCCGGGGTCGTGCAGGAGATGCCCATGGGCGCCGCCGCCACCGCCGCAGCTGCGCGGCCAACGGGCGCCGCGCCGCGCGCCGGGCCGTCCGCCGCCGCCCCGTCGGCGCACCCCTCCGGCCCGGAGTTCCCGCCCGCGCAGGTTGCGGGCATGGGCCGCGCGCTGGGGCCCCTGTTCCACCACAGCCCGGTGTGCAACCTGGGCGCCATCCGCGGTTACCTCCAGCGCAGCACGGCCGAGCCCGGGCTGGCGGCGGCCGTGGCGGCGGCCAGCGACGCCGCGCTGCACATGGGTGTTCTGGCCACCGGCCTGGTCCTGGAGATCCGGCGGGCCTACGTCCTGCGCAGCCTGGGCTCGCCCGCGCTGGACCCGCTGCGCGACCTCCTGCTGGGCCTGCTGGCGGGGAGGGAGGCGCTGAAGCGCGGCGACATCATGGAGGCGGCGCGCGCGGCGGGCATCCCGGTCACCGACGGCCTCTACTCCAAGGTGGTGCGCGACATCTGCGTGTCGCGCGGGTCCACCTGGAGCCTGAAAGTCACGTGAGGTGGCTGCTGCATGGTGGTACGCTTGGTGTGGCGGCCAGGAACTACCGGCTCTGGGGGACACCCACGAGGAACTGAGAGTGAGCGAGGGCCTTCCCCTCCGACAGGGCACTCCTGTGCCTGCTCGCCGTAGACCTTCCCAACTCCTTTCATCAGTGCCCCCAAGGATCGCCGGTTTGCCTGCCCGTCTGACGCCCTTCACAAGCTGACATAAAAACTCGAAAGCGTCGGTAAACTCAGACCAGGGAGCATGACACACGACAAGCTTGGCAAGTACCAGCCCGCATCAGGCCAGGGCCTGCATGTCAGCCTTGGCGGCACGCAGGGACTCCAGCTCCGCCTGCGCTTTGGCCAGGCGCTCGCCGTCCGCCTCCTTGACCTCCGCGGGCGTGCGCTCCTTGTAGCTCAGCAGCGCCATCTTCTTCTCCAACGCCTCGATCTGCGTGGGAAGCGGGGCAAGGGGGTGAGTACACGGGCTGATCTGGGATACTCATCACCCTTCCTGGCCACAGACCTCGCAGGTTACAGCCGATCTGTCGCCCGTTGAGATCCCTGGGGCCCCTGCTTCCCCATCCATTCACCGACACACATCACCCCCCCAAACCCCACACTCCTCCCCTCACCCTGGCGGCCGCCTCCGCTTCCTTCTTGGCCAGCTTCTCCACCTCCTTGCCCGCGTCCAGAATCCCCGCCAGGGACAGGTAGAGCGTGGTGGCGTCGTCCACCACCGCCACGCCGCAGCCCGGGGGCGGGGCCTCCCCCGCCGACAGCAGTGCGGCCGAGGCTGAGTCGGTGAGCGTGGCCAGCTCGACGGCTGAGGCCGCAAGCAGCGCGCGCCGGGACCCGTCGGCGCAGGCCACATGCAGCGCCGGGCGCTCCCGCGTCAGGCCGTAGTCGGCGCGCAGGGAGCGGCAGCGGTTGACCACCGCCAGCAGGTAGGCCATGTCGGCCTCGGCGCGCGCGTCGCGAGCGTCGGGCGAGGCACGCGGGTACTCGGCCAGCATGACGGAGGGGGTGGGGAGGGGCGCGCCGCCGCGCGGCAGGCGATGCCACAGCTCCTCCGTCACGTAGGGCATGAAGGGGTGCAGCAGGCGCAGGCCCGTCTCCAGGCACGTCCACAGCGTGGTGCGTGTGGCTGCCAGCTCAGCGCTGCCCTCTGCTGCCTCAGCGCCGCCCTTTGCCAGCACGGGCTTGGACAGCTCGATGAAGACGTCGCAGAGGTCGTACTGCCAGAAGGCGTAGACCGCGGTGGTGGCGGCGGCGAACTCGTAGGCACTCAGAGCGCGGTCCACCTCGGCCGTGGCGGCGTCCAGGCGGGACAGCACCCAGCGGCAGGCAAAGGGCAGGCTGGCGTGGGAGATGGGGCCCGCCGGCGGCGCGTAGTCCTCGCCCAGGTTGAGCATGGCGAAGCGAATGGCGTTCCACAGCTTGTTGCACCAGTGGCGATATGCCACCACGCGTTTGATGTCCAGGTTCACGTCACGGCCCTGCAAGGGGAGGGCGTGAGGAGGGGAGTAGGATGTGTGTGATCCTGAAGTCCTTGACAGGCAGGCAGGTGTGGCAAGGGCTGCCTACGCGGCCCTGGAGCAGGGCGTCCACAGTGGGTGTGGATCATTTTGCATTGCATGCCGTGGACTATGGTGGGTTTGCCTGCCCCCACGAGACACGAGCATGCTCTGCTTGCCTCGCTCAGACACCGTCTCTCTCGCCTCCCATGACCATACCTCAGGCTCACCTGGGAGGAGTATGCGACCAGAGCAAACCTCAGGGCATCGGTGCCGCACTCCTCGATGCCGTCGGGGAAGTTCTGGACCTGGCCCTCCCGCGCGCGCGCCACCTCGGCGGCCTCCAGGTTGCCGCCCTCCAGCGATGCGTGCAGGTCCTGCAGGCTGATGCCCTCGATCACATTCACGGGGTCAATCACATTGCCCAGCGTCTTGGACATCTTGCGCCCCTGGGCGTCCCTCACGATGGAGTGCAGGTACACGTCCTTGAATGGCACCTCGCCTGCATCAGGTGTAGGGAAGGGGATAGATGAGTGGCCATGCCCGAGCTGCGAGTGCGGCGCAGGATGCCATCCATTCCATGGCGAGGCAGATGAGGGGCTGACCTTACTACCGTGCCCAGCTCACAAGTAGAGGACGCTCACGATACCTCAAACCCCCCCCCC